ATCCACGCCGTTAAGACGAGGATTGGTGCCCTTCCCACCCTGGTACGAACCACCCGTGGAAGGAGGCAGGACAGGCTGTGCCGTGGGGGATGCCTCCACTCGGAGACCGTAAACCACGTGGTGCAGCACTGCCACCGAACACACGGAGCCAGGATATCCAGGCACAACACCATCACCAAGTACATCGCAAGGAACCTCCGACGTCAGGGGTACACGGACCATGAGGAACCCCACCTCCGGACCCCCTCCAGACTCAGAAAGCCGGACCTCGTGGCGGCCCTGGGGAGACAGGCGGTGGTCATCGATGCTCAGATAGTCAGCGAACAGGCCCCCCTTGATACTGCCAACAGAATCAAGAGGAGGTACTACGCTGACACCCCTGGGCTCGATGACGAAGTCCGTCGTCTCACAGGAGCCGAAACGGTGGACCACCTCCCGGTCACACTGAGTTGGAGGGGAGTCTGGAGTAGAAACTCAGCCGAGGACCTGCGCCGACGAGCAATCATCGATATCAGGGTCTTGGCGGTCATCCCCACCAGGGTCCTCATAGAAACGTACGCCGCCTTCCGGACCTTCACCAACACAACATCAGTCGTAAGACCCCTCGTACCGGGAAGAGCGGGGATAGGTTAGGCAGGAAGGGTGACTTGACTCCCTCCTTCCGGGTGCCACCTGCCCTACAGGTATAACGCGTTAGCCCTCCTCCCGGGTCCCTGTACGAGATTGTGACGCGGCTTCCTCTAGGATTAAGTGAAACGAAATTGTACAGGCAATAAAGGAGTCTGAAGGCAGACGAATTTTAGCCAAATGCCTCGTCATCTAATTAGTGAGGCGCATTAATGGATTAACGAGATTCCCTCTGTCCGTCTCTACTGGCTCACGAACGGGCAAGTGTCAAGTGAGTATTCGTTTGAGAGTAGACCTCGCCTGAAGTGCCTATGCCTACCTCCTCGTGGTGTGAGCCGGAAAACGCCCCGGACCCCTCCCGCCTTGCGGGAGGGGACTGGGGTAGGCTAACAGGCAAGGCTAATCACCGCTCCCCTTCACGCCCGCAGCCGTGTCGACGCGACCCATGCGGAATGTTACGCATCCGAGGAGCATGACTCCGGTGAAGACAACACATAGCCGTTCGAATGTCTCGGGCCCCCCGCGTGGGAACCGGGACCCCCCGCGTAATCACCCTTTTTATTTTTCAGGTATCTAATATACCTTTCCCTTTTCCAGGACCTCCAGCGACAGCTCCGCACCCAACCTAATCCTAACTCGCACAAAACCAACCCTAACCCAACCTAACCCTAACCAAGGCCAACCACACAACCCCCCCCCCTCTGCCCGGGCTGGCCCGACCCCTGCTGTGCTTGGACCGGCGCGGCGAAGCACCCCAACTCCCCCAACAAACACCTCCCCTACCTTCATCCCGCCCCTACCCACTCTGCCTACCCTAATACCTCCTCAGCTACCCCCCCCCTCTAATAAATTCTTATTTCCAGGCGCGGCACGTCAATCCGGAGGGACTGTGCACCCCTCCTCCACATTTGCCGTGTGGGGCGACCCGTGTCGTTGGAGACGGGGATCCTGGGGGTTGAGGGGAAAGTCCGCTGCGGCGGGCCGTACCCAACACACCTCTTTGGTCCCTTATGCGGCTAGATGGGCGGCGGGGGGAATAGCCCTCCTCCCGTCAATCAGCTCGGTGGCGTGGCCTAACAAGCCCTGCTTTCATAAGGGCCGTCGACCGTAGGGCGAGCCTACTCGCTCGGCGAGGTGGGTGAGAACACCCCCCAGAGCACTGATTCTTCGTCTGGTGGGGGGATAGGTGCCAGGGGGGAGACACCCAACCGGACCGGGCGGTTGGACTATACCTCGGGGCGATTTCCTCACCCGGCACCGCCGCCGTGCCCAGGGGCCGGGGCCACTGTCGGGTGCCATTTTGACGGTCCGTGGAGGCCGGGGCACGCCCTGGGGCGAAAATGGATATTTACTAATAAAAATGTCTTACTACTTTTCAGCACCAGCGCTGAGGGGGGGGGGACGTGCGCCGGCCCGTTCCTCAGGGTCGGTGCGCTGCGGAGCCGTCGCCAGCGACGTCGCAGCCCCTGTCGGACGTCTGTGCACCCGGTCGGTCTCGAGGGCACTTGCCCTCTCTCTCAAATCGGGCGTCCCAGCGCTGGCGGTTGTCTCGGACGGCAGCCGCGACGGGGCATTGCCCATGTTCGTCAGGCGTCGTGCTGTTCAAATTCCAGAGGAAAGTCCCCGTTAACCAAATAAGCCCTGCCCCAGCGACCCGCAACCAGGGCGCGAACGCGCCGGCTCCGACAGCCCAGAAACCGTTACCGCGATGGGTAGGTCCCTAAAAGCAATGGGAATTAGGGTACTCCAGTTGAACGCGGCAAGTTCAGCTTGAGTCATGCGAGAGGTCAGTGAGCTGATCTCCCAAAAGCGACTGGACGTCCTGCTATTGCAGGAACCGTACGTCCGGAAGCAGGGTTACAGCCACACCTTTTACGGAGTAGGGACCCGAGTCAGGGTGGCTGCCGTGCGCCGGGAACTCCCCTGGGCCGCGGTAGCCGTCCGCAACCCTGAACTCGAGGGCAATATGCTTTCCCAGCTGAGCACGGCACACTGTGATTGTGTGGAAGTGCAGGCCCAAAGCTTCTCCTTCTACGCGGTGTCGCACTATTTACAGCACTGCGAGGAGATCGAGAAGCACCTTAGCCACCACGTAATGGTGCTCTGTTTGCTGAGGCGGAAGGGAATCCTTATTGCGTTAGACGCCAACGCCAAGTTGGCGAGCCTCTGGGGCAAGGACCAGAGGGCGGACGGAAGGGGCCGCGCTCTCGCGCGGTTCATCCAGGCGCATGGCCTCACTGTGGTCAACGATCCTGGCCAAGGCCCGACTTACTGGACACAAAGGGATCAGTCATACATCGACGTGACCTTGGCGACTCCTACCATGAGCAAATATGTCAGCTCATGGAAGGTCCGGATCGACTGGACCACCAGCGACCACGGTGCCGTGGACATCGGGCTGCGGGTTCCCGGGGGGTGCCGCAATGGCGGCGATGCCGCGACCAGGCGGTTGAACGTAAGTAGAGCCGACTGGGAGCGGTTCGCTGCTGCCTTCGCAGAGGTTGCGCGCGCTCGCCTCGGTGCCCTCGGCCTGGAGTCCACGAAAGACGTGGAGATGGCTAAGACCCTAGCCGACTCAATCATCGAGACGTACAACAGGTCGATGCCTCGGGTCAGGAGATTTAGAAAGTCCAACCCATGGTGGACTGCCAAACTTATCCTCCTGACGAGGCTTGCGTACCGTCGAAGACGGGCGTACCAGAGGGCAAGGGGACGGCCTGACCGCCTTCCGTTGCTGCGCATATGCCGTACTTCGCTCCAGCTGTACAGCCGGGAGGTGAAGAGGGTCAATATCCAGAGCCGGCGGGACTTTGTCACGTCGCACGGCAACGTGGAGCCCTGGGGTTTCGCATACAAGCTCCAGGCTGGAAAGCTCCGCGGTGAGAACGTGCTCGGCACGATCCTGTGTGGCGAGGGATACACCCACTCCATTAGGGGGACAGCCGAAGCCCTCCTGAATGCGCACGTCCCAGACCATCTTCCAGGCGAGGACGTAGATTTATTATTGTGGTTTGCAGGTGCAGCGTTGCCTAGACGAAAAAGGGCTATGCCTAACCCTGATAAGGACCGGGCTTCGGCCGGCGGCTCCGCCTACTTGCGGCCCCCGCTGGTAACGGGGCGTCTCGGCTAACCCAGCCGCCTCCCCGAAAGGGGTAGGTCCCACTCTCCGCCGATGATCATGCGGCCCATCGCCCGCGAGGGGGTGCGCGTGCGCGCGCACGCTCGCATTGCGATGGCCCTCGCGGGTGTTAACGCAATGTGATTTCTGCCCAGTGCTCTGAATGTCAACATGAAGAAATTCAAGCAAGCGCGGGTAAACAGCGGGAGTAACTATGACTCTCTTGCTTACTATCTATCGTACAAATGTCGAGCGTCTCGTTTTGGAAGGACAAGGGTATTGCTATAGTCCTGTTCGAGTTTATTTTTTCTTTCTGTTTGTCGAGCAAGGGAACAGAAGCTTAATACTTACTTGGCCTTAGGGATTGGACACCTGGCCGTGGCATGGACCACTGGATGATAGCGACCCGAGGTGGCGGGTACGCTTGCGTGACGAGAGGAGATTGTGAACGTGCATGGGGAACCATCCTGCCGCTGGACGGTGTTCATGTCTGCCCCGTCCCTGTGGAAGTATTAAGGAGCGTGAGAGCCCGCGGCCGGGGCTGTTAGTGTCAGCCTGGTACGATCCACAGGCGGGAGCGGTGAGCAGCCGACTGGCGCCGGGGCCCCATGCGCGCGGAGAGGGAGGACTATGCCCTGACACAACGAGAAATCAATGCGCGAGCATCGAGGCAACCAATGCGAGCATTGAAGCAAACAATGCGCGAGGCCGGATTACCTCCTAGGCCTCCCCCCTGCCCGATCTCCTCTCGCCGCGCCGGTGCGGCCTACCGGCCAACCGGGACGTAGCTCACTCTGATCTTATGACACGGCTCGACGGCGGGGCGCCGACATGCGATGGATAGTGGTGAGAAGTCATGGTTGCTGGGGTGTGGATGCGTTTTAGGCACCTTTTGCATGGCCTCGGTCGGTTAGCCTCTCCCACCGCGGGCCGACTCTAACCTCCTCGTGGTCCCGCCGGACACCCCCCTAGGGGGGTGACAGATTCGGAGTCGGCCACCTCGGGCCCTGGGGGTTGCCAACGAAACATAGCCTCGGATGAAAGAGCCCGGCCCTCAGGCCGGGCTGACCTGACACTTGTTGACGACCTACGCAACCGATACGGATGTGAATACCCAGGGTGCCGAAGAGACTTCGCCACTGCCAACGGGCGAGGTCAGCACCACCGCCGAGCGCACCCGTAATGGTATGATGCGCGGGAGATCGTCGCCGCTCCCGCGGCCAGGCAGAGATGGACCGACGAGGAGACGAGAATGATGGCGCGTCGAGAAGTGGAACTCCAACGCCAGGGCACCCAATTTATGAACGAAGCCCTAAGGGAAGCCTTCCCACATAGGAGTACCGACGCCATCAAGGGGAAGCGGCGAGCACCGGCGTACCGCGCTCTCGTGGCGCAACTCGCCGAGGAAGAACTAGGCCGACCAGCAGCACATCCGCAGCCACCACCACCACCATCGCCGCTGCCACCTCCTCCGGCGCCTCCTGAGTCGCCGGGACCGCCTCACCACGTGTGGCATCCTCGACCCGGACCACCAACGTCGCAGTCAAATCCGCCGCCCGGGCCCACAACCAGCCGGGATGGACAGCAAGCGGACCCGCGGCCGGGACCATCAACGGCCGCCAACCCGCCGCCCGGACCTTGGACCAGATCCCAGGCGAGACGACTAGCGGACCGAGGACAACCTGGGAGACGACCATCGCCACCTACCAGCAGCCAGCAGCCGGCCCCTACCCAGCCACCGGACGAGGATCGACGTCTCGTGGACGCCCTCCTCGAGTGGGTCCGCGAGGACCTACCGGACCATTCAGCAGCGCTGGACCTACAGGACATCTGCCGAGACGCCGTAACCACATCGAAGGACACGATCCTCCTGCGTCTGGGGTTACTTCTGACCCGTTACTTCCCGGGGCAGCCAGCTCGAATGCCTCGCAGACCACCTCAGGAACGGGAAGCGGCCACCTCGAGGCAGCGCAGAAGGGCAGCCTACGCGCGCATCCAGCGCGAGTGGGCCAAGCATCGGGACCGATGCGTTAAGGGGATCCTCGCCCCCACCGGGAACTCCAGGGTACAACCACGATCCCCCTACTCCCCGATTTTTCCGAGCGTATCAGCGCAACGAAACCTCGGGGGGGTTGGGGGGGCGAGCAGCATGGGAGGTTCGCTGCCTTGCTCCCATGCACCGGGACCTCACCCACTGGGTGCTCGCCAGTGCCTTCGGCACTAAAAGAGGTCCCGGAAAAGGGTCTCAGGGGCTGCCACCCCCTCCGACCCTTAATCTAACTGGCCCAATACGCAGCAGCCATGCCTCGGATGAACGTGGGCGTCCCACTGGGCGCCCACAACCAGTGAATCCCCAACCCCCTAGAGCCGAACTACCCTCCCTGCCCGATTACCCCTGCGAATTCCCAGGGTGGGAGCGGGTCTTCACCAGCGCAACAGGCCGAGGAGTCCACCACCGCAGGGCGCATGCAGACTGGTACGACAGGCGTACCGTGGCGGCCATTCAACACCATCGAGCGCCCTGGACGGAGGAGGAGATCACCATCATGGCCACCAGGGAAGCAGAGTTTGTCATGTTACAGATCCGCCACCTCAACATGGAACTTCACTAGCGCTTCCCTGGCAGAACGGTGGAGGCCATAAAGAAGCAGCGGCAGCGTCCGGAATACAGGGAAGCAGTCCAGAGGAGAGTCCGCGAACTCCGAGCAGCCCGAGCCGTACCACCCCCGAACCCCGAGGAGGTAGATGAGCAGCCCCCTGAGGGAGATCATCTCCCGATTGTGGCGGCCCTGCACTCTCTCACCTCTGGAAACGGAAGGGTTTCAGGCTCGCAGGCTGCAGGAAATCGTGGACGCCGCCGGCATTCTGGATCCTATGGTCACACGAGCACGACTGACGTCTTACCTCCTCGAAGTCTTTCCACCACCTAGACAGAGGAGTCTAAGACGTCAGCGGCCACCACCACCAGAGCCAAACCGCCGCCAACAAAGGCGAGCGGCGTGTGCTCTCACGCAGAAAGTGTGGACCAAAAACAGATCCAGATGCCTGGCGGCAATCTTCGAAGGAGTGACGGAGTACCAGCAGCCACCACGACAGGTCATGGAGCCGTTCTGGAGAGAAGTCTTCACAGGACCCGTGGCGGGATCCCCCCTGAATCTTCCTCAGGGGGAACCACGCCTCGGACTCTGGGGACCGGTCACCATCGACGAGATCAAGGCGGCTCGCCCCTGTGTATCCGTGCCGTCAGGCCCTGATGGGATGACGCCACGGATGTACAGGGCGATGCCGGGAGAGGTCATCATAAAGATCCTCAACCTGATACTCGTCGGAGGGAGGCTGCCCCACCATCTGGCCATATCCAGGACGATCTTCATACCGAAGAAGGACGGGGCCGCTCTGCTGGGGGACTTCCGCCTGATCTCCATCCCGTCCATACTCGCCAGGGTCCTTCACAAGATTCTGGCGACGAGGATGGAGGGAGGTCTGGAGTTGGACCCACGTCAGAGAGGCTTCCGCCAACACGTCGATGGCTGCAGGGACAACGTCCTCCTCCTGGACACGCTACTGCGGGACCGTCACAAGTCCCACAGGTCCCTGCATCTGGCTTGTCTGGATGTCGCCAAGGCGTTCGACTCCGTTTCTCACGACACCCTCCGGGAGGTCATGGGGGCAGCAGGAGTCCCTGCCCTCTTGAGAGACTACATCACCAGGTCATACAGAGAAGGTCAGACGACCATCTGCGGGGGGGGGGGGGAATCAACACCCCTCCACCCGACCAGAGGAGTGAAGCAGGGTGACCCCCTCTCACCGATCCTCTTCAACCTGGTGATGGATAGTCTTCTCCGATCACTTCCGGAGGAGGTGGGGGCTACAATTGGCATACATACCACCAACGCAGCCGCCTTCACCGACGATTTATCGTTAATGGCGAACACCCGTGCAGGCCTTCAACATCTTCTGGACCACGCTAACAACCATCTAGCGAAGTGCGGTCTCCGGGTAAATCCGGCTAAGTCCTGCACGGTGACCCTACACGGGGATAGACATCATAAGAAGACAGTGGGCAACATGTTCGTCAGGCGTCGTGCTGTTCAAATTCCAGAGGAAAGTCCCCGTTAACCAAATAAGCCCTGCCCCAGCGACCCGCAACCAGGGCGCGAACGCGCCGGCTCCGACAGCCCAGAAACCGTTGCCGCGATGGGTAGGTCCCTAAAAGCAATGGGAATTAGGGTACTCCAGTTGAACGCGGCAAGTTCAGCTTGAGTCATGCGAGAGGTCAGTGAGCTGATCTCCCAAAAGCGACTGGACGTCCTGCTATTGCAGGAACCGTACGTCCGGAAGCAGGGTTACAGCCACACCTTTTACGGAGTAGGGACCCGAGTCAGGGTGGCTGCCGTGCGCCGGGAACTCCCCTGGGCCGCGGTAGCCGTCCGCAACCCTGAACTCGAGGGAATATGCTTTCCCAGCTGAGCACGGCACACTGTGTTTGTGTGGAAGTGCAGGCCCCAAGCTTCTCCTTCTACGCGGTGTCGCACTATTTCCATCACTGCGAGGAGATCGAAAAGCACCTCAGCCACCTCGAAATGGTGTTCCGTTCGCTGAGGGGGAAGGGAATACTCATTGCGCTAGACGCCAACGCCAAGTCCCCCTCCGGGGCAAAGACCAGAGGGTGCACGGAAGGTGCCGCACTCTCGCGCGATTCATCCAGGCGCATGGCCTCGCCGCGGTCAACGACCCTGGCCAGGGCCCGACCTACTGAACGCCGAGGGGTCAGTCATACATCAACGTGACTCTGGCAACTCCTGCCATGGGCGAATATGTCAGCTCATGGAGGTCCGGGCTGACTGGACCACCAGCGACCACGGTACCATGGACATCGGGCTGCGGGTTCCCGGGGGGTGCCGCGATGGCGGCGATGTCGCGACCAGGCGGTTCAACGTAAGGAGGGCCGACTGGGAGCGGTTCGCTGCTGCCCTCGCAGAGGTTGCGCGCGCCCGCCTCGTGCCCCTAGGCCTGGAGTCCGCGGAAGACGTGGAGACCTTGGCTAAGATCCTGGCCGACTCAATCATCAAGTCGTGCAACAGGTCGATGCCTCGAGTCAGGCGCTTTAGAAAGTCCAACCCATGGTGGACTGCCAAACTGACCCTCCTGAAGAGGCTTGCGTACCGTCGAAGACGGGCATACCAGAGGGCAAGGGGACGGCCCGAACGCCTTCCGATTCTGCGCAAATAACGTACTTCGCTGCGGTTGTACAGCCGGGAGGTGAAGAGGGCCAAGCTCCAGAGCTGGCGGGACATTGTCACGTAGCACGGCAACGCGGAGCCCTGGGGCTTCGCATACAAGCTCCAGGCTGGAAAGCTCCGCGTTGAGAAAGTGCTCAGCACGATCCGGCGTTGCGAGGGATACACCCACTCCATTAGGGAGACAGCCGAAGCCCTCCTGAATGCGCACGTCCCAGACGATCTTCCAGGCGTCGACACTCCTGACCAAATCGAGGTCAGGAGAGGTGCACGCGTCGCACCGGACACGGCCGATGCCCCTTTCACGGAGGAGGAAGAAGGCCGTGCTCTATTGTCCTTTAAGAACGGCAAGGCCCCTGGGCCCGACCTCATTGAGATCAAAGTGCTCCAGGAGGTCTTTGCCGTCATCCCATTAGAAATTACGCGCCTCTTCAACGGGTGCCTTCGTTGGGGCGTCTTTCCCTCTACCTGGAAGGAGGCATCCCTCAGAATTCTTCTGAAGGGAGAGGACAAGGACGAGAAGAACCCGAAATCGTATCGCCCGATTTGCCTCCTCTCCGTCTTAGGGAAACTCTTCGAGAAGCTCCTCAAGCTTCGACTAGACCAGACGGTCATGGCGCCGGGGAAGCTCTCGGATCGGCAGTTCGGCTTCAGGGCTGGTAGGTCGACCGAGGGTGGCATCGTCGAGCTGCGCCAGCTCATGGATGCCTCCGACAAGAGGTACGCGGTGGGCCTGTTCTTCGACATCTCCGGGGCCTTCGACAACGTCTGGTGGCCCTTGGTACTTTCCTCGCTCAAATCGCGCGGCTGCCCGAGGAATGCTTTCGAGGTGGCCAAGAGCTACTTCGACGTCCGGAGGGTCAAGCTCGCGTGGGTCGAGGCGAGGCCAGCAAGGCGGCGACGAAAGGGTGCCCTCAGGGCTCCGTACTCGGACCCGTATGCTGGAACCTCGTCTTCGACAGGTTGCTTAGGCTCCTGGAGGCCCATCTTGGGAATTGCTGTATCGCGTACGCCGACGACCTCGCGGTTGTCCTCTGTGCGGATACCCGAAGGGAGCTCGAGGTGCTCGGCCAACAGGTCGTGGACCTCGTCCAGAACTGGTGCAAATCGGCCAAACTCCAGATCTCGGAACGCAAAACTGAGGCAAACACCCTCAAGTGCGACTCCGTGAGGAGGGCCCCAATAGGTAGACGGGGAGGAGTGAGACTCGATAGAAAGAGGAAAATCGTCGACGCGGTTAAGACGGACCTCTCGCGTAGACCACCGACCATTAGGATAGGCGCGACGACCGTTAAGTTTAGGGACAAGGTAAGGTACTTCGGCGTGTACCTTGATAGCGGCATGGCGAAGGCAACTTTCCATTGCCAGTTTCTCAGCGCGAAGGTCGGCTCATATTTCACCAAGCTAGATAAGCTCGCGGGGGCCGTGTGGGGTCAGAGATGGAAGGCGTACTCGGTCGTGTACTGCTCGCTGCTCGCCCCGATCGTGGCATACGTCGCGGCGGGGTGGGCGGACCTGTGCACGGAGGGCGACCTGCGCGTCCTTCGGGCCCTGCAGCGCCAGGCGTTGATCCCCGTGGTGCGTTCCTATCGCACCGCCTCAAGGGACGCGCTATGCGTGGCCGCGGGGGCTTCCCCTATAGAGATCCTCCTTAAGGAGAGGGCGGCGCTCTTGCACCACCGATCGGAAGAGGTCGCCGCGCACGGTGATATTGTCGTGCAGCCAGGGAGCAGGAAAGCCGTCCCCAAACTGAAGGCTGCTTCAATCAGATTGTGGCAGGGCCAGTGGAACTCATCCATCAAGGGCCGCGTCACACACTCATTCTTCCCGGACGTGGAGACTAGGCTCCGGGCTCGATGGGTAGCGCCCTCCTACTACGTGACGCAGCTCCTCAGCGGACACGGCGCATAACGGACACGCCGCGGTCGGCCTGGCCCCGGAGGGCGACTGCGATTGCGGGGAGGGGGGGGGGAAGGGTCGAAGACGTCGAGCACGTCCTGCTCCACTGCCCGCGATTCGCTCCGCAGAGGGAAGCGCTCTCGGATCTCGTCAGTGGGGCGGGCTGGCCCGAGGCGGCGCGCCTCTTGGTCGCGACGCCGAAGGCCTTTGCCCTGCTCGCCGACATCGCAAAAGAAGTCCTTTGGCTAAAGGACGACTAGACCTTTCATGGCACCGGACCGTCTAGCCCGTCGGGACGTCGGTCCCGGCTGGAGCGGGGCCTAGGGCCCGCAACCTTCGCGAGCCACCTGTGGTCTCGGGCAGTTAGGGGGGACCCGGCGCGGTCCCAACTACAATGCGCGCACCCGAGCTCCGCCTACTTCGGGCCGGGCCCGGGTCCGCGCATACCTCGCGCAAGCGCTCGAGATCGGAGC